GAAACGCTGAATTGCATTTGAGAAACATTGTTAGATGTCAGAGATGAAATCATATTAACCATGTCTGAGAATAAGTAGTAGAGTGAGAGAAGGAAGAATTGTTTAGATGAAAAGGGGGAAAAGAAAAGCCACCTCAAATCCTTAAAACTCTTCTGGAGATTGTTTTTCTTCCTTTAGACTTTTGTGAGAAAACCTGGGGTCTGTGACCAAGAGAATCTGCGTGTCCTAACCCGAGAGAACTGGGTCACGTCACAGGGATTTTATGCCTTTGCCTGTATGCTAGAAATGGAAATATTCTCACCTCCCTTCTTGTGCTAAGCCAGCCCCCAAAAGGTAGGAAAAACGGATTGCCAAAAATAAATCTTTTTTCCCCCCCCCCTTGTCTCTCTGCAGCAATTCGGCAAAATCCTTGATGTAGAGATAATCTTTAATGAGCGTGGCTCGAAGGTAAGTCCTGTTTCTGTACCCGCTTCTCTTGTTTTGATTGCAGAGTAAAAGGCAGTTCATTGCCTAGAGAATATACTCTGTAGAGATCAGCAAAATGGGGGAAGGGAAGAGCTATTTTGGGGACTGTCTCCTGTTCCCTCTGTCTCCAGACTCTGAGCATGGTCATTTCTGGGCAGCATGTACAAATGTTCCTAGACACTCCTGTCTGGAATGCGGGATCAGGTTCCCCAGCCTTTTGAACAAACAGGGAGTCAGTCACTTGAGCCCTTGTACCAACCCGATCCCATTGCACTAGCAATGGGTGCCCTGTGGGAAAGGCAGAGTAAGGTAAAACACCTTTGTGTGATGGGAGACTGTAAGAACAAAGCCTAACCCACCTCCCCAACCACATTTTTGTCACATTGAAATACTTTTATAGAAAAACTGTGTTATCTCATATGTGAAAGGATTTTATTTACTCTATTTTGCAGACCTACTTGGCACTTCTGAGATACTGACCTTTCATGTTTGAGATATTTGATGCTTAATATAAGCATCCTCATTCCACTTGCCCTGCCCCATGTGGACCTCTCCCCACTGAATTTGCATTCACACACCTATTTTCATCTTACAGATAGATTAAGAGGGAGGTTTTATTGAGGGTTAATGGTAACTTATTTCTCTGGAGATGAGATTTTAAATGTTGCTCAGGTCAGCTGCAGAGAGATTCAGTGATCTTTGTCCTAATTGGCAATTGGTTCTCATCACGTAACCAGTATCACCACAATGACAAATTGATGTGATTCTCTCTCTGCCCAGGAGGTTCAGCACTGGAATAGCAGGGAGTTTTGCAGGTCAGGAGCGAGGTGCATTGCCAAAGCTCTATGGGGGAAGCTTGCACAGTGCATGTCTATACTCTGCTTGACTTAATCAATGCTAAGATTCCCATTTTCAATTAAAACAAAATTTCCCTCCTCCCCACACACGTGTGTGCACATGTGTGCATGCACACAAGAGATTTTGAAGTTGCAATTCAGCTAAGCAGTTGTGGTTTAGAGTCTATGCCTTTCGCTTGGATTTGAGGTTCACAGTCTTAAGGTGGCCTCTTTGCTTCAACATATATTCTGGGGTATGTTCATGTTCAGAGCCCTCTGCAAATTTCCGCCCATGTTGCCCAAGATGCATTCTGAAATTCTTCAGCCTGTGTATTAGCTGGAAACCAGAAAGCGGTTGATCTGTATACAAAAGAAATGACTGTTAGCCCTTTCCCCATCCTTTGTTTGTGCTTAATATTGTAGGGTCTTTTTGGTGGGTTTTGTTTTTTGGTTTTTTTTTAATAAGACAGTCCGAACAAATAAATGTCTATATGGCTTACAGAGTTTTACTTCTCTGTGTGGATAGAAATCTATATGCTTTACCAAAACAATCAGCTATGCTGAGTTTGTAAATAGTTATTCTGCTCTCTGCTGTTCTTCTGATATTTATAGGCCACAGCTATCTGTGAATTAGGCTTGATTTTAGTCTTTTCTATTTGGCTTTGGGAATAGCCTCTGGCCTCTATCAAATCCCTACTTGTTTGGATGTAATTGCAAAAGAAAGAACAAAAATAACTGGCCTGGCAAAGTGGTGAGCTCTATCCTTCATCCCCCACTGCCTGTGCTTTCCAGAACAGTGTTTTCCTCTCCACACATGAACTTCACTCTCTCTCCTCCATCCGTACAGCCCTGTATTAAATGCCCACGGCTGCCCTTTCCCTTGTAGGCAACACTAACATTGGAGGCTTTCTGCGAAGACTTGATTTGTGACTGTGAAAAGTACCTTCCTGTGCAGTTGTTAAAGCCCAAGCTTCTGGTTTTCAGTTAAAACAAAAATTATTGCTGAAGAGTTCCTTGACGAATTTTGTCCTGAAAAAAGAAAGCGATCCAAAGAGATGTTCTTCCAGTCCTTGACCATGAAGTTTTCTACTGCTTTTTTGTGATCTTACAGCAAAAAAGGAGTTGCAAAACTAATAACCTGTATGAGGGATGGGGCAGAATCTGAACAGAATGAGAAAACACCCAAAGAGTCATATTGTGTTATCTTTGCATCCTTCTCTACCCAAAATAATTCCTGGTTTTAAAAAGAATGCAAGATTATTCCTGCTTAGCATGAAAATGGGAGGCCCCAGTGTTTGAGTGGGGTGTAGCTGCACGAAGCACCTGGTATTCACGTAACAATGGAAAAACAACAGTTTGGTGATCTGATGGTGAAGCAAAGGAAATGGATCTTTCTGGAGGCCACTCACTCACTCTTGGGTTCTTCCTCCACCTTAGGGAAAAAAAAAAATCTGAATGCATTTTCCTGCCCTATGGTTTCCATTCTAATCTAATGATATGAAACCTCTCTCTCTTCTCCTCCTCCTCCTCTCTCTTGGGAATCCGAAAGCAGATGCTCCTGCTGCCTGCCTTGTGCTGTGTTCTCAATACTCCCTTCCCTTCCCTGGGTTCCTAAGGGTTGTAGAGTTTTATGTATATGTTTTGTAAATATTTAAAAGGTACAGTGGTAAATCCCAAACTGCCCTGGGTTCACCCCCACCCAGTGTATGATGGGGTTGAGCAGCGCTTTGTCCCTGCTGAGCTGTGGCAGGAGATCTCTGCTGAGATGGCTCCAGTGCTGGTCGGTAGGAGGGACTGGAGGAAGCGTGTGGGTTGCATTCTTCCTTTTGAATCCACCTGAGATGACCAGGCAGTTTTCTTCGACAGCCTGAGAGAACTATATCAAATTGGCTGCATCTTCAGGATCTCTGCATATTTAGTAAGTTTGGTGACCAGAGAGAGAGCAGCGTGTGTCCGTCACAGCCACCTCACACCTCAGGTTCTTGTATTTGGCTTAGGAAATGTTATTTGTTGACTTTCTGTATCACAGTCGAGTAGGAGGCAGTTAATAATTAGCTTTACTGATTCTCCTCGCAAAGCAATGTGAATTCTTGTTTCCTAACTCAATTTCTGCCCAGATTCAATCTGTTTAGTAGGATTATATGGGCCCTGGTAGACTTCACACTGATACTGCTTTGCTACATATGAGAAACAAGATACAAACTTTATACTTCCCTTGAATTTCATTTTGTTTTATTCTTGTTTAATAGAATGACATCAGTCTTCCTTTGATGTGTTTGGGTGTTTTTTTGCTTGTTTCCAGGAAACTAGCTGTTTCATTTATCCTGTTTACCATTACATTTCTGGTTCTGACCCGTATAAGTGCCTTTAAATAGCATTCTGCTCATGGTTGCAGTTTACCATGCACTTCGCTGAACCGTGAATAAAACACCTCCAGAGGAAGTCAAGAGAAAGGATTCCTGCTCCTTTTATTAGTGGAGATGCATCCTCTTGATGCATATTTTGGCACTATTCTGCTAAGTGGACGTATTTGCAGAATTAATGCAGTCTGCCTGCATAACAAGTACCCTGTGGCATTCGTAAAGCTGCAGGGGAAGGGCATCCAACCTCTTTGCTCATCAGCTGCATACCATGTGGCATTCCAAGATGTGCCCTCAATGACATTCAGAGACCAAGAGTGCGTAAGCACACAGCAAAATCTTGGCTGAAGAGGGAACGTTTTTTAAAGATTTTTAAATGGTAAGAGTTCATATTAGTTCATAATAGTGCAGATTGCAAGCTTGTGGTTTCAGCACAGTGTAAGGTTATGTCCCTCACTGCCTTCCACTTGGGAGGCCCAAATCTCCAAGTTCTTATGTTGGACTGGAGTGTCTAAAAGTGCTTCATATTTAATTAAAAAATTGGTTGTATAGTAGCTTACATCTTGTTTTCCCAAAGCAAGTTCTGTAAATTGAGTTCCATAAGTAAACCTGTGCTAACTAAATCTTGTGCCGAAAGTTATGTGGAAACACTTAGAGGTTTTTTTACAGTTAACTACAGTTAACTGTAGGTTAAGATAAAAATATGAATTTAGGTTTGATAACTGTGCCTAAAAGACTGTATGTTTGCATGTGCATTTATTTCTTCTTTGAATGGCTTAGGTGCTTTGAGTGAGTCACTCTGGTTCTGGACTTAGTTTCCACTCAGTGAGATAGATACAACCCCTTGTTACATAAAATAGAGGTCTTGTTTTCATTTATATTCTATTTTTATAATTCTTGCTCAGATGTCATCAGTTGAGCCAGAAATACAAATAGTGTTATTAATGCAAAGAGCCTTAATAACAAATTAAGTACCAGCGACCAGCGTCGGTTTCTCAGGTCACCAAGTCCCTTTGTAATGCCAGTGGCATGAAGGAGACGTGACCTGTGTCCCTTTATCCTAGTTCAGTGAGGTACAGGTTTATGCCTTCAACTCTGCGATACTACACTAATGAGTTAAGTTAGTCCGTACACTGAACTGGTATATTTAAACTTGAATAATTAAGGCTGAAGTTGATGGCTTGATAGTATAAGCTGATTTACCGGTCCTGTGGGAGCGCCTTCCCAGTAGTGCTCCTTTCGCTGTGTAGGGAGTTGAATCCAGGGTGCTAAATTAGCAAAAAACTGATGCACCATGGAGAAAGAGAGAGGGAGAGAAATGAGCTTGTCTTCCTCCAGTTTAGCTAGTTGAACTCTCAGACCATGCAGTAAGATCCATGCTCGATTGAGGGGAGGAGGAGGAGCACACAGCACGGGGCCGTGGAGCTCCTGACCCGAGTTGGCTGGTGCCTGAAGCCCCCAGCTCTCGCTGCGCAGCAGCCCTGGCCGGGCTCCCACTGTTCTCTCCCGGCCTCTGCCTCCTCCTCGGTTTTGCAGGAGGGATTGGCAGTGGAGCAACACAACAAGCTGGACTGGGGAAATGATCCAGCTTAAAAATAACCCCGCAGGGTTTTTTTTTGAAGATACATTCATGGGGTTTTAGCCAGATTAATTCCTGCATCTGGTTCACCAGATTGCACAGGTACACGGACAGGTGCTTCATGCATATGTGCCTTAATGCACTCAAAGTGCAGCACAGCGGTAGGAAGGAGCTGGAAGAGCAGCTGAAATAGTGTCAGCTTGGTTGACACCGATTTAAAGTGTGCGTTTGCGTGTGTAACTTCAACAACGTGTTTCTGAATTTCATGCTGTGTTTCTGTCAGTGCATTCAGTCCTGCTCATCTCAGGTGGATTACAGCTGAAACCCTCCTACTCTCTCCAAACGCCTTGGAAACAGTTAGCCTAAACTCCTGTCTCCTTGGCCATTTTTTCAAGCTCCTAAGAGTTTGTTTATTTTGGAAATGGGGGAGGGGGAAGAAAAGAAAAAAACTTAGTTAAAAATGAGCAGAGCAGCAGATGACAGCAAGGCCGGTTGCTGGCTGCATGCTCCAGTGGTACAAGGCAAAGACGCTGCTGCTGAGGTGACTGGTCTAAACTCCGTGACAAACAAAGGGTTAACAATGCATGGATTTCAAGGGGCTCTGTTTAGTTTCCTTTGGTTTTATTTTCTTTTTTTTTTTTTATTTTACTTTTTTGTTGTTGTTTTTTGTTTAATTTCTGTGTTCTGGCCACACCCAGGAGAACCGTCTGCTTTTGATTTCTCCCTTTACGGTTACATGGTAAATTTTCTTTCTCATTCTTCAGAGATGGAAACGTTCAAATACTATATATATACTTTTTTTTTTTTTTTTCACTGCTCATCATGTTGCTTGTTATTTATTGCAGAGTCTGAGGCCAGACTAAAAGGGTGGCAGTTACTCGGTCTCTTCAGGCCCTTTGAATAAACCTTTGGGTAAAAAGGGGTTAGTCTGGCACTGCAAATTACTCACCAGTCCTAAAAATGTTTGCTGGGGTTATTTAGTGTTCTCTGGGTACACTGAGGCTTCAACTTATTTTCTGCTTGGGAGAAGTTCCTGGCAGTTGCTGGTGGAGAGGAATTGTTGAAAATTTCAGCCTTGTTATCACAACAGCCTTATTAAACCCAAGCTATTTGTATAATCTAAATTTTAGAAACCTTAAGTCTTTTTTTACCTAGGATTGTATCTTCCCTTCCTCTGGCTCCATTCCTACTACTATGGAGCAAACTAGTACCTTCTATAAAGCTAAGCTAGTAAATACTGGACATCTGTCACCTCTCTTTTTTCTTTTTCTTTTATTTTTTTTTTTCAAGGTCAAGACAACCTTGGGAGGGAAAACTGAGAATTGTTTGTTGTGTGTGTGTATATATTTAGGTACAAATTAATCCCTATTCTTTACAGGTCATCTGTGAAAAGGAATTAAAATTATATGTATGTGCTTTTTTTCTCTCCCACTTCTAGAATATGTATATATAATTGCTAGTTTTAAAACTTAGAAATAACAAAAATGTCAAGTGTGGCTCACCTGTTTTTCCTGATGAAAACTTGAATGTCTCAGAGATGCATTAAGACGACAAACAAAGGGGGCACAAATGCTGACTCTGCCATAGTCAACTATGTTAAGCGTTAATTCAGTATTGACATTAAATGGCTCTCAACAGAGAGAGTTGCACAAGCTAAGAACTGATCTGTCAATAAAACAAAAATTGTGGTTAATTAGTTATGTTGTTCAGAATCAGATTAATTCTCTTTTAATTCATATTGTTAATTATTTTCATATAGTCTGCATGTGGATTGTACTCAGCCTTAACTTATTAAAAATACTGCAAATTCCTAATCAGTTTAAGGATATTTAATGATAATGTGTTTTTTAAAATCCCGTACAGACTTTACTAATTGCAAACAAATGTGAATTAAAATAGTCTTAGTGTGGTTCTAGCCTGCATAGATTAATGTCTAAAAAATTACCTTCCCTCTGCTCTGCTGCTTTCAGTTCACATCATCACCTAAGACATAAATTTTATTCGGTCTCCACAGGCTTGTCTAGAACAAACAGAAGTTTTAATGTAAAAAGAGAAGAGGGAAATAGAGATTCCTGTTGCAGTCTTTACCTCCCCTCCTCCCACAACCCTTTAAAGATGCTTTTTTGCCATTATATAGAACCAGAGGGAAAGGTGTTGATCTATTTCTCAGTCTTGCCTTTCTCTGTAGGGGTTCTTTGAAGCAGACACGATACCCTGTCCCTTCGTAATCAGCTTTGCTATTACACCCCCTGCAACCCCTCTGGTTCCCTGCAACGTATTTGAGACTTACATGTGGTTGGGCTGTTTTATTAGCCCCGATCTCTTGTAGCTCCAATTTTAATTCATTTAAACAGAAAACTTTTATGCTGTTCTGAAAAAGGCATGTTTCTTACTTATATAGCTTTTTATTTATAGCTGGAGAAATGAAATTATCTGAAGCTTTAGATTATTGGGTTGGAGCTCAAAGGAGCGCTCTTGTTGATCTCAACACTGCAGTACTTGGATAAGTTCTTTTGTTATTACTGTTCAGGGGAAAAAAAAGAAAAGGAAAAAAACCTGCATTTTACAAATGTGTAATGGTTCTGTGCTGGAAACCTAGCTGTGGATGATACAGGCCAGCATGTGCCAACGGCTTGGGCTTTTTAAGATTAGTATTGTACTTTAAAAAGCACTTGAAGAATGATGGCTTGCTTGTGTCTTGTTGCTAACAGTGCTTAGAAATCAAGATGCTGCTTTTTTTGGAGGGGGGGGTCCAGTCCACGTGTATCGGCCCGAAGCTGCACGGGGTATGCATGCCATTTCCCCAACAAGGCATACCTGTAGATCCCTGACATCACCTCGCTCTCCAGTTAATATCAGGAGTTTCCATTGCATCAAATGCAGGCTTTGCTCTTCCTGCTCCTGAGGGTATTGGAGCCAGTAAAGATTACTCTCTGTACATTAAACCAATATTTGCTTTACACCAAGCCACAGGAGCCAGTTACTCTTCTGCTCTTAAGATACCCTAAAAGCAGAAATCAACATTTGGCCCTGCTCTCTGTAATGGCACGAAGAATATCTCATCACAGTTGTCTGTAGTAAGATACCATTTGTTACTAGTTAAAATCGTAATTAACTTAGTCACGTTGGCTCTGTTTTAATGTCAGTGTACTCATCTCTGTGGAAGGAAGCATGATCTCTTACCCTGCCCCGTTACGCGACTGCATGAGTTGGTGGGAGAAGCACGAGCGTGTAGGACAGGCGCGTTGCACGTGCCTTCGTGGATGCGGTAAACCTAAATTCATCTTACTAAAGGGACATTTTAGTAGGCCTCAAGCCTTTGTGGATGCCTCAAGCAGGGCACATCAATTTTTCTCAAACTTCATGGTCTAACTAGGCAGAGGTTTGTTACTGTCCACGGCACAGAGGTTGCCATCTCAGAACAAAGCCAAGTAAGATGGGTAGCAGGGTGGGGGAGAGGTAGCAGTAGGTCAGGAGTGTTAGGCAAAACCTGCCTTTACCGATGAATTGGTATTTTGGTGTTTAGATTTGCGCTCAAGTCCAACACAGTACTCATAGGAAAATTTTGAAACTAGAACATGTGATTCTCTAAATCTTCATGTTAAGTAATGTTTATTTGAGGGTGCCACCTAGAAGCCCTGCTTGCTTTCAGGGCCCCATGCATTATTAGGAAAGTTACAGGCATAGGAGTAGACATGAGCTGTGCCCTGAAGAGCTTACAAGTGATGCTTTACAAACAGCCCTTCCTCTCAACAGTTTTCTAAGGTAGGTAATTATTATTGTCTCCATTTTACAGGTGGGAAAAGCAAGGTTCAGTGTTTGATTTGCCCAAAGCTTCACAGAATTCCTGGTGCCAGGCGTGAACTCAGATCGCTGCCCGCTCTTGTAGCAGTTTCTCAAGAGAACGAAGTGCTGCTCAGTGTCGATGTCCTGTACTGTGTCTGGGGCGGGCGGGGGGTCCTGCAAAGCATGTGTGTTAATTAGCAGAGGGGAGAGAAGCCCTGCTTGGGCTTGACCAGCTTCCCTGTGTCAGAGCAGGGTTTAGTGTTTTTAAACAAACAAACAAACCAATCAAAATTGTCTCGAGTAACTTTGTACTTCTTTTTTGGTCTGGCCTCAATTGCTTTTATGTTTTCTTTTTTTTTTTTTTTAATTACTCTTATTCTTATTATGATTACAGTTCCTTTATTTTATCAAATTTAATTTCTTTCATTTATGAAACATGCATGAACCAACAATGTGACTCTAGGAGGTTATTGCTGAGTTGTGCTGATGTCGATTTCATACTGTGATATTTTTTCTCTATTTACCTAGAGATCAGTATTTCAATATATAACGATGTGCATGTTTTCCCCCCTTCTCCCGCTGCATGCAGGGATTCGGGTTCGTAACTTTCGAGAATAGTGCTGATGCAGACAGGGCCAGGGAGAAATTACACGGCACCGTGGTAGAGGGCCGTAAAATCGAGGTGCATGTCTTCAGTAATTCAATTTCTTCTTTATATTTATTCTTTTGATTTCTTTTTGTGTCTTGCCTCACTTATTTCACATTTGGATCCCAGTCTCGTGTGTGCGTGTGTGTTTGTGTCTGTGTCCTTCACCTCCCTGCACTGAAATGTATAAAAGTTTACACCCCTTACGGAATATTTTTGTTATTGTTTTGGGTATTTTTTTCTTTTCTTTCTTCTTTTATTAAGTTTTTTTCCCACCCACTCCAAATTTTTGCCCTTCTGCTGTCTTGATTTTTCCTTTGCTTCAGTTTGCGAGGCTCCGATTTCCTGTTACCAGGCCTGAACAAAACTAACTGAAAGAGTACTGTCCGACTTCTAACTCTGTGTCCAAAAAAGAAAGCAGGGGGCCAGCCAGTATCCTCTCTTTCCTCCGAGGCCAGTTCTCCTCCACGCAAGTGTGAGATGATGCCCGTGGTGGGAGGGGAGGGGAAACACGGGGCAGAATCCCTGAGTGGGCTGTGTTATACACAACGCTGGTTTCTTGACCTGCCCGTGGTCAAGAGTCGGCTTGGTGAAAGCTAATCCTTAAAGTTCCTAGCTCTCACCACAGGGGAGTGAAGAGTTAATGTTGGCTGGCCAACAGGACCATATATTGGGCATGCCTAGTGTTGACCAGTTTGGTGTTCCACTGTGGTGAAGGCTAACTGGCGTCTTCCCTCTCTCCCTCTTTCTTTAAAAAAAAAAAAAAAAAAAAAGCCCCCGTTTTTTGGTAAGGAGTCCTCCATTTTTGGTTTTTTTTTTGTTTGTTTTTTTTTTTCCTTT